TCTTACGGTCGATCCTACCGGGCCTTATCAGCGCCGGGTCTAACGTCTCGATCCGATTGGTGGCCATAATCACCTTCACGTCACCCCTGCCATCGAAACCGTCCAATTGGTTCAACAGCTCTAACATCGTTCGCTGGATCTCTCGTTCGCCACCAGAGTTCGAGTCATATCTGATCCACAAATTGAATACCAAATCAGTTATTAAATGACAAACAAATCCCAATTCAATATTCATCAGTCATTTCAAGAAAGGCTCGTTTTAGCCATAAGTCCAACAAAAAACTCTTAACCAACAGAAGTGACTATTGATTACCTCTTAGTGCCGACGGCGTCGATCTCGTCGATGAAGACAATGGCGGGCGCGTGTTCTTCGGCCACTCGGAACAGCTCTCTCACGAGCTTTGGTCCGTCGCCTAAATATTTCTGAATCAGTTCAGAGCCGACGACCCGCAGGAAAGTAGCGGACGTCTGATTGGCCACCGCTTTAGCTAACAGTGTCTTTCCAGTGCCGGGCGGTCCGTACAGAATGACACCTTTCGGTGGTTTAATACCCATCTCTTCGTAGTATTCCGGATGAGTTAACGGCAACTCAACGCTCTCTTTGATCTCTTGGANATTGGCCACCGCTTTAGCTAACAGTGTCTTTCCAGTGCCGGGCGGTCCGTACAGAATGACACCTTTCGGTGGTTTAATACCCATCTCTTCGTAGTATTCCGGATGAGTTAACGGCAACTCAACGCTCTCTTTGATCTCTTGGATCTGCTGATCGAGACCACCGATGTCTGCGTACGTCTCTTGCGGTGCTTTTTCCAGTTTCATCACATTCACCATCGGGTCGACATCATCGCTGAGGACACCGACCACTGCGTGCACCTTATGGTTCAGAAGTACACAACAGTTCGGTTCCAACTGTTCCTTATCCACGAACGACAGGATCGACACGTAGTGCTCGGAGCCAACAGAAGTCGACACAATGGCGTGATTATCATCAATGATCTCTTCCAGGTTTCCCACAGACATCGGAGTTCCTGCCAAACAAGTAAATAGTGTTAACTATCACCACCTGAAACAGTGTCACTGTTTTCTTTCTCTCTCTCTCTCTCTCTCTCTCTCTCTCTCTCTGGTGAGGCCACAGACACCAACCTCTGAGGTCATCGACTTTATTGCGCTCTTCATCGACGTTATCGTCTTTGTCTGTCTTTGCATTGATGGCTGCGTTGCAGTTCTTGAGGAACTCCTCCTCCATGAGCAGCCAGTCCTGTATGCGCTCCAACTTAAGCAGTTTGAGGCGACACCGGGAGTGTGGGGTCACTGCCGGCAACTTAGACGCGCTGTCCGGTCCTTTGCCTCCTTTACGACGGCGGCCCCTAATGGAGGGCATCGGTGGGGGCGCCGACCGCTCCTTCTTCTGGCCCTTCTTATCCTTATCGCCACCGCCTCCCGACCCGCCTGAGTGTTGCTGACCCTATGGACAGACAGGTTTTCGGACACCATTTGTGTAGTCATTAGTAAATTGGTAGCAATTTTGTGGTCAAAGTTATGGTTAGAGTTTTGAGTGATTAGTATGTCTTGAGGGAAATATGAAGAGGTAGTGATTGTCTCATTGCTTACCATTGTGTGGTTCAGTTGATTATATGTGTAAACGGTTGAGATGTGTATATAAATGTGATTAACAATCAAATATAAATAGACTTCAAAATAAAAAACCACTAAATCGTGAGAAAACTGTTTTTGTTATGAATTGCCGTAAAGTTTGATGAGTTAGTGATGAGACCCACATGTAAACAACGTTATGGTATTTTGTGCCATTCACTCACCCCTTGATCCGGAAATTTTATTTTTATTTTATTACTTAGTTTATTAGAGTATTTTTAACGTCAAATCTATTATAATTAACGACCCTGATTACATTAGCTAAAATAAGCAAGTAAATTCCGTATTAATTTACCAATTTAAACCCTAAGCACAAACACCCCTTTCCCATCAAATATTATCTATATTCATGAATTGACTCAATTTGTTAAATGACTTGCATTTTGGCATCTTTTATGACTCCCTTTCCTGGAGTACCCCCTCTAATAAAATCCAATTTATTTATTTCGTAATCACAAAATGAACATGCTAATGTGTTTATGATTAAATAGCGTGCAAAACGTTTTATATTAAATTAATTTTTTAAGAGATTTAAATAGTTTTATATTAAATAAGATAATGAATAAAATGAAATTAAATTTGTGGACGTTTTTACTTTATAAATTAAAACCACATCTCATCTTAAATAGCATAACTATTTTTCGGATAAAACTAACCCCTATTGGGGAGTGTTTTTCAGAAAATACTGTATAATATTCGGCGTTTCCCTGTCGTAACAAACCACTGACGACCCCTCCCTTCGTAACGCCATATATGACTGACTATACAAGTGATGATCTGTACAGTGTTTGTGTGTTTGTTTGGAGCACTGATTGGTTGTGAAGTGAATGCAAACACTAATTGTGTGTATATTTCAAAACCTATTGAATAGTTTGTAAATCGTGTGAAAAGTGGACGCAATTCACGACAAATGCATATAAAGTCACATCAATTGGCGTTTGTATTACTCGTATGTCTGACGGGAAGCCTAGTGATGGTGACCGCCGACGACACCACCTCTTCGTCGCCATCGGAGGCGACGGCCGACAAAAAGGTGAAGAAACTGCAGATCGGAGTCAAAAAACGTGTGGAAAACTGCGACCGCAAGAGCTCTAAGGGAGACATACTTCACATCCACTATCGGGTCAGTACTGTCACCACCCGGTGATCACTGCACCAGAGTTATCATATGTATGGCTAACCATTTGATGGCCACCTATAGGGCACTCTGTACGACACGGGCGCCGAGTTTGACAGCTCCTACAAAAGGGGTCAGCCGTTGACCTTTACCCTGGGCATGGGTCAGGTGATCGCCGGCTGGGATCAGGGATTGCTGGGTATGTGCGCCGGCGAGAAGCGAAAGCTGGTGATCCCGTCGGACTTGGCGTACGGGTCGGCCGGCGCCCCACCGACCATACCGGCCAACGCCGCCCTCGTCTTCGAGGTCGAGTGCGTTCAGATCGAGAACCGCAAGTCCGAGCTCTGACACCACCACCCCTTCCATGCCTCCCGTTCCCCACAGACTTCCCAATGATTTTATAGAGAATTAATTTTTTTCGTCAATTGTGTTGTGAAATACAAACGAGTTTTTAGTCAATATTTTTTCACACGTTTTATACGAGAAATTTGATTTTTTGTTGCTTTTTGTCATTAACTTTGACTTTATGTTGAAATTAAGATTTTATTTTGAGATTAAATTTTATTGAAATTAAATACCGATTTGTTTTTTGGATTTAAGAACTGTTTTAATTTTATTATTATTATTAACTATTTCTTATGCAAATATTACAACAAATTTCTAAAATGTAATGTTTTTTGTTATGCGAAACATATTTACAAACGAAAATGATTTGAGACTTTTTCATCAAATGTTTTTTGTGAGTGTTTTTTGTCAACTTTTTTTGGTTTCAATTTTTGGGTGAATTCTGTTGCGATTTCTCTCGTTTTTCTGGCGATTGGTTTGAGTCGTTTGTATCGGTAGTGATTGGCAGCGAAACGACGGTATAGTTGATTGGATTGGCGTTTGGCATCTGTTCCACGGAATGGTATTCAAACTTATACCCCGAGCACATGCCAATCAGGAATATGAGCCCAAACACCACGAACGCTATGCTGGCGATGGAGGCCAACACTAGAGCCGAGTAACCCAAGTATAAACTGATGGCTGTTCTCAACAGGAACCGGGATATACACCATAGGGTGGCGCTCACGAGGAATAGCGACGGTATGATGAGTAGGCCGTAGTTGAATATGGAGTCTATTGTCTCATTGCTGGCGAATGTGTCGACCACTTCGACTCGGATGGGACTGTTAGGGTGCTGTTGGTTGTGCTCCTCCTCTATACGGCGGGCCTGGTCTTCGTTGCGCCACCAGCTCAGCGAATCCCACGGGTCTCGGGTCGGCCTATCGTCCTGTCATCACATTTCACTCATTAGTTATGTTTCAAATGGATTTATCATATTTTAATGGAATATTATATACAGAATATTCTGTGTTTTCTATAATATTTCTAATTTATTATTTAAAGATTAATTTTATTTATTAATATTTTGTGTTTTATAATAAAAATATCCTTGTTCCTGTATTCTTATTAAGCTATTTATCGATTGATTCACTCGATTGCTGATAAAACATATTATAAGATATGAGACAATCGTTAAATGATAGGTTCAACGAACTCTTCAATTGTGCTATTGATTCAAGTTTTTTGTTCATTTCGTTATCATTCTTATTATCATATTAATAATATATAGAATATAGTGGAACACCTACTCTATAGTAAAGGATTATACCGGTACTGTATAATATTTACAATAATGCTAGCCTTTCTTAAGGCTTACTCACATCCGGATATATAGAAATTATATATAATATAGAATATTCTGTAAACGCAAAGGAATTATATTCATATTAGAGTTAAATACTCACCACTTTTATAACGGATTGCATGATTCAATGATTCAATACACGGAGAATTTGCTTAAATTCTTGAATATATTACAGAATCAAACAGATATTCATTTATAATAAATAAATGCAACCCATAATCAGTAAATTGTCGCTCAAATACAGTGCGAGACATCATTTGATGGTGTAGTGAGCGTTGAGAGTGGAGACGGCGACTACACTGAGCCGACACAGTCTGTGCCCATAGCATACCAGTGCCACAATATTTCCTTATCGATTGATGAGAATCCCTTTCAGAAAAAGCTGGTCTCTATGGTAACCCTTTTGATTTTATTCACTGCTTATTTTATTTGGATGATTGTCTTTCCGCTCTCATCCGCACAACGAGAGTCTCTCTGTCTCTCTATTCTTCACCCAATAAATTGATCACCGATTCAATGGTTAGATTTTTGTTGCCCCACACAGCCTATCAAACACTATTCAATAGTTATACAGTAGTTTTACTTATGCTTTAAATGCTTACAACAATTTTTTATAACATCTCTTTTTCTTTGCTGTACTTTATTTTAGTTGTCTTTATTGTACAGAATATCCGTAAATGGGTTTATGAAAGCATTTATAATGGAATTGCTTTTTATATGGTATGAAAACTTTCTCTGTATTGATAGGAATCTCGAGATCAGTTCATAGATACATAGACACAGACAGGGATAATATCATATTATGATGTTATCCATTGAAATGTTAAACTCGTGTGGAGTAAGAAAAACATTTTAGGCTTTTATTGTCCAAATGGATTGCGAATAACTTTTCATTTATCGCTGAATTTATATCAATGTTTGTCGTGATTGGCGAAAACTGTTCGCTAATTTGATTTCTTTTATAATTTATTATTTTTTCTTTCACTTAAGGCTTTAACGTTAAGAAGATAAATATTTTTTATATATTTCAACTAAAAATCTATATGCGATATTTTTATATACAGATATTCTACAGTAAGTTATGAATTACAAAATATAAAATTATTTAAAATAAATAGAGTAGTACATTTTTAAGAAGCTATAAAACTATGTTTAAAAAGTTTGTTAAATATTTTACTTTATTATAGCTTTAATCGTTCTTAAAATTAAATACTCAATTAGAAAATGTTACTTAACAAAATTTAATTACCGTATAAAGCTGTTTGATGTAAAAATATTTTACCCAAAAGTGCACTTTAAAAAGAAAATTAATTATTAAAAGCATTGCCACACTTAATGTTCTTACAGATAGTTCCCAAATGAAAGTCTTTCACTGAATCTCTTTTGAAACATTTATTAATCTCTTTATTTACAACAAAACAAACCTTTTGTGATCTATTTTTATTACATTAAAATATTCAAAAGTCTTTGTCTTTAGAAAAGTTTACATGAAGACAAATGTGGAATATTTATAAGTTAATGGAAAATATATTACTTTTGAAAATTTATTTTTAGATTTAAGTCTCTTTAGTAACCTGAAGAAGCAGAAGAACCAGAAGAATCAGTAGAACCTGAAGAATCTGTAGAGCCTTGAAGACTAGGTGCTGGTCCTGAGCCTATAATAGTAACATCAGCTGGATTTGGGACGTCAGGTCTAACAGACACAATAATACATTAGTTTAACTTTCTTACAATAAATGTGATTAAATGCTAATAATAGACATTACGGTAATTCGTTTGTCTCGACTGTCGCGCGAAATCCATTGCTGTCGGCCCTATAAATCACTGTCCTTTGTCTCCCATCCGGATCTCGCAGTGAATACTAATAAGAAATGAATAAATAAATTAAAAATTGTGTCCATTATAACAGTGAAAGTCATACCATTCCTGTGACCACACCATCGGCATTGCCCGACTCTGATTGGGATATATGTCCGGTGGGTTCAGGGGAACCCACATTCGCAGAGTACTCGAACTTATAGGGCTCAGGAGCCGGATGACCTGTACTTCCACTAGAAGGTGCAGGTGTTGTTTTTGATGGCTTTCCCGGTGGTGGTGGCGGCGGGGGATAATATGCTGGCTTTGGAGGTTTAGTCATTGGTTTATTAGGTTTTCGAGTAGTCTTTACATTATTATTATAGTTATTATAATATCCAGCGTTTATCACAATTATAATATTTGCTAATAAAATGAAAATTACTTTTAAACGATATTTAAATAACATATTGCGAACAAATTGTTTCAATTTGTTTTTGTTTCAAAAACTTTTTGCTACTTTTTAATCGACTAAATAGGAAATGAGTTTAAATACTCTGGAAATGTCGAGTCACTGAAGAGTCTTACAAATTGTGTTTCAATTTCTTCCTTAACTTTTAACATAAAGTAAATGAAAATTATAACAAATTTTACAAAACGAAAAAATTTGCTTTAATTTTGTGACAAATCACTCAAACATTAACTAAATGATTGGCATTTCCTCACAGAATTTTATCAAATAAACCAATTAAACAACAAATAATAGTAAATAAAACCCAATTAAACTGAATTACAAAGTGAATGAGTTATAAAATAAGTATTTATTTTATTTATGAGTTTAAATACATATTATTAATGAAAACTATATTACAAGCGCTTATATATACCGTAAGAATTATACTGGCAATCAATAAAATGGTGTATTTTTGATATGAATGTAAAATATACTGTAAACTTAAATGTAATCAAATGTATCAATCATTTAGTTTTGGCAGATCTCCGCTGTTTAATGTCTTTAATGGCGTTCAATCGGCTTTCGATCAAATTCTTGGCGTTTTTCATGGCATCGAAGTGTCGCCCGAAGACGGTGTCGACCCTCTCTTTGATCTGCCGGTGCTGTGCATCCAACGCATCCAACCGGGACTCCAGACGCAGCCGTTCCTCCAAACAGAACTTCTGGGCCTCCGATTGGTTCTTCGTTTTGGAGTCCAAATCGTTTTTCATACCACTATTCAATTGCTTCAACGTCTTGATGTGTATATAAATGTGATTAACAATCAAATATAAATAGACTTCAAAATAAAAAACCACTAAATCGTGAGAAAACTGTTTTTGTTATGAATTGCCGTAAAGTTTGATGAGTTAGTGATGAGACCCATACGTCAACAACGTTATGGTATTTCGTGCCATTCACTGACCCCTAGATCTGGAAATTTAATTTTTATTTTATTACTCAGTTTATTAGAGTATTTTTAACGTCAAATCTATTATAATTAACGACCCTGATTACATTAGCTAAAATAAGCAAGTAAATTCCGTATTAATTTACCAATTTAAACCCTAAGCACAAACATCCCTTTCCCATCAAATATTATCTATGTTCATGAATTGACTCAATTTGTTAAATGACTTGCATTTTGGCATCTTTTATGACTCCCTTTCCTGGAGTACCCCCTCTAATAAAATCCTATTTATTTATTTCGTAATCATAAAATGAACATGCTAATGTGTTTATAATTAAATAGCGTGCAAAATCTGTTATATTAAATTAATTTTTTAAGAGATTTAAATAGTTTTATATTAAATAAGATAATGAATAAAATGAAATTAAATTTGTGGACGTTTTTACTTTATAAATTAAAACCACATCTCATCTTAAATAGCA